GTCAAGCGCGTTCACCACTAGGCCACGCGCGCCACGCTTGGAGCGGGGGCAGAAAGCGTAGAGAAAAGGGGAGGCGCCCGGCGACCGGCGCCCCTTTGCCTACGCCCACTGCCGCCTCCCAGAAAGTGTTGCGTGTGGCCTAGTGGTGAACGCGCCTGTCTTTCAATTTTTAGGTCCCGGGTTCGAACCCCACCGGGGTCAAATCTGTTTTGCATTTTTTCTATTATATATTCATGCGGTCTAGCGCTATTAGAACTGCTCATGGGTGCCCGATTGCTCAGACTAAACCCAAAAATTGCCTTTTCTAGACCCTTTTCATCACTTCTAGAGCCGTTTTTTCCAGCGATGGTTACTATCCGCAACGGAAAACCCTACGATGACCACGGAAACGAGATCAAGGCTCCGCCAGGACACCTGGTAACCGCCAGTTTTGATGAAAACGGAAAAGCGGCGATTCACTTCCAAAAGCTGCCAACTGAGAAGGAGCTGGACCAATGGGAGGAGGATATGAAGAATGGGAAGGGGTTGGAAATGATTGAAAAAATGTATCAGGAGATGACAGTCGGTTTGGAGAAGGCGAAGGTTTTTTGAATTCCCGCCAGATCAATTTTTCAAACGAGAAAATTTTTCAGGCCCGTCAAACCAAGGATCCTGGAGTCAAAAAATGAGTCGGGAGCCCCCCATTTGCATAAGTGTTATCAAGAATTCTATTATAATACAATATTATTTTTTTTGTAAAAATGAATAAAATTTGTGGAGTGTGACATCTGGACATAGTGTATTACAGACAGACAATTTTTCTCACAGTTTGTAGAGCTTCGGCGTGGTGAACCCGGTGGATTCCACGTGGAGAAAGGGAAATGAGGGATATTGATTTTTCTAGAGTTATTCTTGAATTTTCGAGAACTGGAAAACGGTGAGCTTTTGTTCTGAGCAATCCGGGGGTTCTAGGCGATTTAGTCTGAGCAATTCTAGCTTTTCAGGCTGTTAGGTGGTCCTGGGCACATCTAAATTCTTAAAACTACTCTAGAAAAAAAGATAAAAAAGATTTGACCCCAAGGGGGATCGAACCCGGGACCCAAAATACCAAGGACAACTCTGTTAACCACTAGGCCGCATTTGAAGTGATGGTAGGAGGCGCGCGGCGCCCTCTGCCACTAATTCGACGATGGCCTAGTGGTGAACGCGCTTGACTTACAAATTTTGGGTCCCGGGTTCGAACCCCTTGGAGGCAAATCTTTTTTTCTTTTTTTCTAGGTCCGTCCGGTGGGTTCCGGGGTTAGAATAGATGCTTAAAAGTGGGCAGTGAGCGCTGGTAGCTGAAAAAAACACTTTTCGTCTGTTTTAGAGTCTAGAGAAGCTTCTGAAAGTGCTAAAACTACAAATTGAGAGAGACACAGTAGTTTTAGGTGCCAGGTGCTTTTCTCGGCCTCAGGTTGTTGTTGTTATTGACCTGAGCCTAAGCTTAGGGCCCTTAGGCTGTGTGGACACCTGCCCCTAGGGGGTGTCAACAACACCCCTTTGATTATTACTTTGGGGCCGCCTGAGGACCCACAAGGCAATAACAACAATTTTGAATTTGTTTACGGCCTAATCTACAGTAATTTCAGCATCCATGCGCCTTTAAGGTCTGAAATCTGGAATTTTGGAACCTAGTCATGATTATACTCTTTTTGAAGCTCTTTTTGTCCTGGTTAAGAATATCAAGTTGAAAATTGCTAAAAATCAAAATTGACTCAGATACGGTAGTTTTGGAGGGTCATGCGCCTTTGAGGTAAAAATCAAAAATTTTTGAACCTAGTCATGATTATGTTCATTCGAACCGCCTTGATGTGCTGATTCCAAAATAATCATTTTCGCTGAAAATGGACCAAAATTCACCGAGATACGGTAGTTTTTGCAAATTGCTCAGAATAAAATTTTTGGAAATTTTTCCAAACCTAGTCATGATTATACTCATTCGAACCGTCTTGATGGGCTAAATTAAAATATACAATTCTCATGGGCCTCGGAGCAAAATAAACCGAGATACGGTAGATTTTGTAAAATTTTTGATTTTCGAAATTTTTCGAAAATCTGTAACTTTGTTAGTTTTCAACATTTTTGGATGGTTTTTGGACCAAAAAATTTGGAATTTCGGGACGTATCTAGGAAAAATACAACCAAATTTTACAAATTTTAAAAAATTCCAGCCCCTCCAAAAAAGGATGGTCTTGCTCAAGGATGGCAAAGTCTATACGGACGATGGAGTACACGAGATTAAGATACCACCAGGTCATTTTCTCCGTTCGAAACCCACTGAGGAACCCGGAAAAACGACGGTTGAATTTATAAAATATCCGACGAAAGAAGAAATGGATAAATTGCATGCGGAGTTGAAGAAGAAGGACGGGCTGGAGCCCGGTGAGAGATTCATGAAGTTGTTGTTGCAAAGAGAGGTGAGGCTTTTTCTTCTTAAAAAAAGTGAAAAAAAATTCAAATTTATTTTTTCCCGCCCAAAATTTTTGAAATTCGAACAAAAACTTTGAAAAAAAAATTGAAAATTTCGAATTCCCGCCAAAATTTTTGAATTTTTCGAATCCTTGCCAAATTTGTTAAATTTTCGAATTCCCGCCAATTTTTTCGAATTTTTGAATTCCCGCCAAATTTTTTGAATTTTTGAAGTTCCGCCAAAATTTTTGAAATTTTTGAATTACCGTGAAAATTTTTGAAATTTTTGAACTCCCGCCAAAATTTTTGAATTTTTGATTTCCCACCGAAACTTTTTGAATTTTTGAACTCTCGCCAAAATTTCTGAATTTTTGAATTATCGCCGAAATTTTTGAATTTTCGAATTCCCGCCAATATTTTTTAATTATTTAATTTCCGCTCGAATGTTTGAATTTTTATGTTCCCGCCAAAAATTTTTGAAATTTTTGAACTCCCGCCAAAATTTTTGAATTTCCGAACTCCCGCCAAAGTTATTGGATTTTTGAATTTCCCTCAAAATTTTCAAATTTGAGTTTTCCTGCCAAAATTTTTGAATTTTTGAACTCCCGCCAAAATGGTTGAATTTTCAAATTCCCGACCAACCAACTCAGACCTTTTTCAGCCGAAAGAAAAACCCGCTGAAAATGAGCCGAAGGAGGTCAAAATCAATGTCGATTGAGCTGGTGGATAACCACCCCGTCTGCACCTAGTATTTCAACTCGCTGGATTTTTTTTCTTGAATGAATTATTCATTTCATTCTTCTTTTTGTGATTTTTCGGCTGAAAATTTGACTGAAAACCGACTGAACTCAATCAAAATAGACCAAAATTGAAGAATTGCTCAGACTAAAAATTTGACCGAAAATCGATCATATCTCGGTCAGTTTTGGACCAGACTCGATGAAAAATATATATTCGGAATCAGCGTGTTAAGACGGTTCGAATGAGTATAATCATTACAAGGGTTGGTAAATTTCGAAAAATTCGATTTTACCTTAAAGGCGCATGCGATTTTTCGAAAATTCAAAAATTTTGAAAATAGGACTTGATTATATTTTTCTAAACCGTCTTGACGTGCTGATCCCAAATAAACAACTTTTATGGGTCGTGAACGAAAATTTGCCGAGGTACGGTAGTTTGAATAAAGGAATTGCTCAGAATAAAATTTTGAGAGAAAATCGACCGTATCTCGGTCAATTTTAGTCGGATCCTAAAGAAAAATAGTGCATTGAAATTAGCAATTTAAGACGGTTCGAATTGGTATAAACATGACTAATTTTTAATTTTAGCAATTTTCAATTCCATATTCTTTTTCAGGGTGAAAAATGCTTCGACATGAGTATAATCATGACTAGGTTTCAAAATTTCAGATTTCAGACCTTAAAGGCGCATGGATGGTGAAATTACTGATGCCTACCGTATCTCAGGCCGTAAACAAATTCAAATTTATTGTTATTGCCTTGTGGGTCCTCAGGCGGCATCAAAGAGAAAATCAAAGGGGGTGTTGTTGACACCCCATAGGGACAGGTGTCCCAAGCCCCGCCCACAAGGACCCTAAGCTTAGGCCCATGTCAATAACAACAACAACCTGAGGCCGACAAAGGTAATTTCAAATTCCGAAATTTCAATCAAAGACCCAAGATTGTTGACACCCCTGCCCCGGTCCCAAAGGGGCGGGGCCCAGAGAGCACCCCAAGACAAGCTCCGCCCCCCTTTTCAGTCAGTATAAAAGGGCACCCCTATTGCTCAGGATATATTGTTCTCCTTTAGACTCTCCGGTATTGAGGGTCCCAATTGATTATCTTGAATTTATGTAAGTTTTTTTTTTAATTTTTGGGAAAAAATTAAGGGAAAAGTTAGTCTTGGCTACGGTAATTTTTTGGGCCATGCGCCTTTAAGGTCAAAATCGAAAATATTTTGAACCTAGTCATGATTATGCTCATTCAAACCGGCTTGATTCCCTGATTCCAATGCACGATTTTTTATTGAGTTTGAACCAAAATCGACTGAGTTACGGTAGTTTTAGTGTTTTCGTGGCAAGACCCAAAAATTGAAATTTTTCAAATTGAGCTAATTATGTCATGATTTTACTCATTCGAACCGGCTTGACCAGCTGATTCGAATGCAATATTTTTCTTTGTGAACGGACCAAAATTGCCTGAGATACGGTAGCTTTAGGGGGCCATGCACCTTTAAGGTCTGAAATCTGAAATTTTGGAACCTTGTCATGATTATACTTAAATTGAAGCATTTTTCATCCTGATACAGAATCTGCATTCAAAAAATGCTAAAAATCAAAATTTACCTGGTTACGGTAGTTTCTATTTTTTCAGAAACCTACATCTATCCCACCTATCTTATTCAATCAAAATGAAAACCATCGGAGCAAAACTGGAATAATGTTCTGAGCTCTAATCATGACCGATAAGCCGATTCATCCACCTGGTTCTAGGCCTGGAAGGTACGTTTTAGGCTTGTATGAGTTTTTCAAAGGGGCCATGCGCCTTTAAGGTACAAATTAAAATTTTTCGGAACCTAGTCATGATTATACTCCAATTGAAGAATTTTTCGTCCTGGTTCTAAATCTGTACCTAAAATCTGCTAAAAATCAAAATTGGCCGAGTTACGGCGGTTTTACGGGGTCATGCGCCTTTAAGATCAAAATCGAAAATTTTCTAAACCTAGTCATGATTATACTCATACGAACCGTCTTAACGCGCTGATTTCAAAAATA